TTTAGAACTCAAGACCGGATTTTTAAAGTTGCTTGATTTTAATAGGTTTCAGATATCCTGCATGAAAAGATCTGGGGCTCCTGAATATTTACAAGAGAATGGCAGCCTTCGCGCTGCTCCTCAATATGGTCACTTCGGATTTGCGGCACGCGCCTATAATTCTTCGATTAATCATACTCCTACATTTAATATAGTTAGAAAAATGTTCGTGTTATGTATTTTTCCTGTATAGTATTATTTTAAAGGATATTTGCGTTTGTGTTAAGCATCCATTTATTAACTCTTCCTTCTCAGCAGTAAACAACGGAGTTTATGTATAACTTTTATATGTTTTCCTTTAAAATTGGTGTCGGTTTATTCGCGTAGAGACGCTACACATGGGCGTATGGTGCCTCGGTGGCGAACTGGAACACACTGGCCTTCTACCTTTTGCTTTGAACGAAGCCACCGTGTGGCGCACAATCTGCCTAATCTGTCTATCAGCCGCTGAATTTTGGCTTCATCTGAGGAGTCTTGAGCTCTGGATTGATGTTTTACGCAGTCATATAAATATCCTTAGGATAGACGAGGAAGAGCGCGAGGAGCTGCAGGCTAGCAGTGAGTAAAATCTTTAGTCGGATTATTTTAAAGGAAGGGTACTGGTACTATTTGATTGACTAGTTTTGGGTTTGAGTTCACCTTTGTGGAGTATATCCATAGCTTCCAGATTTAGCTTGAATTGATGACAAAACTTATAAATGACTAAAAACGTTGTTGCAGGCAAAAAATTAAATTACTTTGATGCAATATTTATAGGATATATATGTCATTGCTTGATGTTTAGTTATCATTGGCTGTGTTAATATTAGTTAAATAATAAGAACGCTTGATTTCTCTTAAACGATATTCTATAATATACGATGTATTTACCCTATTTCGTTTAAGGTGATGAAGAACTGGTAGTAGAATTTTCCCACAATGATATTAGTAGAGCTGAGGTCAGTCGGAAAATTCTACTACCAGTCCTTCATCATCTTAAACGTAATAGGATGAATACATCGCATATTACTGATTTACTGGTAGTCTCGAAACTCTTCTTATATACGAAAAATAATATTCCATAAGTTCTTGAAAGGCCTGGATTCTATTGCAGTTGCGAATTTGTATAAATGCTAACAGGCCGATGGGCTAGGGGATTTCAAAGAAAGCTACCATCATACTATCTAGCATGAACTATTTACCGTACTTCCTGCTTTAAACTAAACTTAAAGAGTCTTTACTTTAGTTCATTTAAAATATTTCTCCTTTGAAGTAAACTTTTATAGGCTTATTTTCCATATGTATGACGTGTCCGCTCAATTAACAAAGTTAACTGATTCGATTATATGTAATTGATGAATATTACTTATGGATCTCTCATAAGCTTTTTAACCAATATCTTAAAGATTGGGGTCCCGCAGTATACGGAACATTCACCACATTCCATATTTCCTTGAATCCCTTTAATTATCTTAAGGATTAGCATTTAAATCTCTGTTTAAAAGTTTATAATTTAATACATTTCAGCAAATGCTTCTGTATAAAACATTATTAGATCTTCCATAAGATATATTCACTTTTTGCTCATATGATCATTTTTGATTATATTTTCTGTTTAACTTAATAGGGCTTGTATGGGTCTGGTTTGCTCAGCCTTAAAATCTCAGAGAAAAGGACCATTTCCATATTTATCTGAACCCCTTCTTCCGCTTTTATTCAACCTCGCCAGTAAAGTGATTCAATACCAATCTGAAAGCTACAAGTTATCACAGAAACAATCAAGGCCAATAAAATTAAGTAAAAGATTAATAAAACTTTATAGTTCTCTTTGGTACCTCTTAACGTCTATTTACCTATTTGGCTAACTGTCGAGAGATATGAATATCTAAAAATGTAAAGTTGGAATAAGTTTAAAGGCGATTCTTTCAGAAACAATCACCGAAAGCATAGTATTAATGACAAGTTAAAATACTTTAATTACATTAAAGGAAATTAATAATGGAATTTTCGAAACCAATCTTTTAGAGTCTCATTAACTTTCACCTTTAACAATCAATTAATACTCATTACCATTAAATATAAATTTTTCGAAACTGGTTTATTTAGTAAATACCTATCTATACTTTTAGAAAATTAGACAGCCAGATTGGGCAAGCAAGATAGTATTTTATGATTAAGGTAACATTAGACTTAATACATATATAAATAAATTATATTATTCAATAATACGTAAAGGCTCATGCAGATCCTGTGAAATTCTCTTAGTCCAAAAGTCTCTTTAAAGTAAAGTACAATGGCCGGTAATATAAAGGTTTGATCTTTAGACCCTTTTAGTCCAAGCATGTTAGAAAACTTACGAATTTAGGTATGACCTTCAGGATAGTGGGCGAAATATGAATAATTTTAAGGGGAAGTAAGGGTACAAAGTAAGTTAGGCCAGATGGTTTTATGTCTGCATAAACGACATTAGAATTTTAGATAATATAGGTGGTATCTAAGGCCTTAAATTATTCTTTTCTAAGTATTAAGATCTATTCTGAAAAAATAATGGTAGAACTCATAACTTTTACCGATTGGCTACCAGAAAAGTATAGTAGTGTTACAGTCATGGATAGCTTAGTTATAGAAGAATAAACCAAGATACGTAGGGGTGTTCATAAGAAGCCCAAAAGTAAGGATATCCTTCCCTTCACCCATTTTATGATACTAAAGGCGGTGACATTGAAGCAGTAATGAAAGTAATTCCGCTAATATTGGATACAAGTATTTTAGGCTGAGAAATAAGAAAGTAAGGTCAAATTTTAATTTGGACTAACTATTTAATTAGATCAATTGATAATTATTTCACAATTCTACTTAATATAACTAAGGGAAAAAAAACTCATTTTTTTAAGACGGAGGCTTTAACACTCTTCTCAGTATATTGTCATCCCTTAGATTTTAATAAACGATGGTTAAACTACTGAATAAATGCGGCTTAAGAAGGTTTAAAGATTTTTTCAGTTATGCCTTATTTTCTATAAGATACGAACCCTCTATCACTTTCTCACTGTTATAAAGTCTTGGTATAGCAAGTATTCAGGGCTATCAGTAATCTTTTAAAAAGAGCTCAGACACCGTGGCTCTCTTAAAGCGAGTTAATAACTGATTATTGAGTTTTCTTACGATGAGAGGATTAGGCTTTGGGATAACACTAAATGTCACCTAGTATTCTCTCCCAAAAGACTTCATCATCTAGGATGGACTGCAGTTTCGACCTCGCCTAGGTCTCATTGTCACCTCCAGCTAGGTTCGGTACCGGATCGTGAGTATCTTGGTTATGTCAACACTCCACTTCATCTCACGGCCTTAGGTGCCAGGGGTCACAGGGCAGGTGCGACATTAGGATAAGCCAGGCCTCCCCCGACTCACATTTATAATGCAATTATCGATTAAGTAATTATGCCTTTGCCATTGCAATAGAAGAGGTTACTTACTTTTAATATGAGTAGTTTTCTAGAGTAAAGGCTAAGTAGATTAATTGGCATCTTCAGACCTACTCATCACATCTTGTGAAAGTCCAACTATCAATTCTTATATCACCTTAGGTGACCTAGGGTGACTAAGATCTTATAACGTTTGTTCTGATGTGCTACGCTGTATGTGGAAATGACCTGCCGACCTATAAGTAAAAGGTAAACTTTAGCAAGTTCGTAGCCATATTTTATGGTTCCACACATCAGAATTTATGAACATATAGCCATTAGAAGGAAGACAGATAGATTGGCCTCACTCGAAAAGTTTTTAAGGGTTTTAGACTCTTCATTTAGGAGGGAGATTTTGAATTATATTTAGGCTAAAAATATGCCAAACGCCATGGATACAAAGAAAAAGTATAAGAAATTTAAATTGGATTGGAACCGGGAGAGGAAACAAGACGAAACTCCTGATGAAAGGATTAGAAATATAAACATGGTGCATTATTAGTGCTCTAAAATCTAAAATGGCGCTTCAGCATTCATACATA